TTTTTTAAAAAAAAGTTATCAAGCTCTTAAAAAATCACCCGTTACAACTTGTATAATAAAAACAACTTAAATTTGTTAAACATTCATAAAAAATCGCTAATATCTGCTATCATTAAATGGTAAAAGGTCATATATAGACACCCGGCTAATAAAGAAATTCATTTAAACAAATTTTAATACATATATGAGATGATCGTAAACGAAAAATAATCAATAAAAAAAGGTACCGGTCCCCGACGTAATAGAAAAACTGCAGCCGGTCCGTCACACTAAAAAGTTTGACGAGCACTGTTCTAAATAACCTTGTCAAAGAAATTTTTCGGAATAACCAATCAGACAAAAGTTAGAAACCATAAAATAAGACCTGAAAAATTCCCATTGGAGGCAAAATTTTCAAAAGTTACAGTTGTATGAAGGCGTGCAAAAAACTTAAAAAACTAATAATGCACTTCGATTCCCCATACCGAAATAGGGTGAAACCGTCTTCTCCGGGCATGTCTTTAAAAATGTTTGAAAAAAATTATTACAGTATTACTACTACAAATATAAATATAGCTTTCACCACTAGCTACTCACCAATATTTTTTATGCGTAAACATCTTTACTCTCGGTGTGCGTAAAATGTGCGTTAATCCAGCAGAAAATCTTTAATTTTTGCATAAGAAACCGCAAATATTTACTGCTGTTGCTGTTGCAAGTGGTGGTAGTATTTGCTAAGATAATTCCACAATGCGAATATATGTTAGTTTGTGATTTAAATCCACAACTTTTCGGCTCGCTTAGTTCGCAATACTGCCGTCTGTCTCCGTGCATTTTAGATTCGATCAACTGCGCTGTTAATCTGAATTAAAGTTGCCGTCTGTCTATGCTGTAAACACATACATATCTACATACTTTTAACCCCATTGTCATGCTTCAAATTTTGGTTATTCCAATTGTGTTCGCTTCAATGTACATACTTACAATAAGACAAAGCCTCGACCAAAGAAAATTGTCAAATGCAAAAATTTTTTTGGCTTCAACTACATCCCACAAATTTCTCCCCCACCAATGAAAACACTTTTTCGAAACTCTTTCATACCTCTATTAACTTTAAGCTCGAATTGTCAAAGTTGTTTTTTACTTAGTTGCTGTTGTGTTGTTGTTGTTTAGAAACTTTTAACTTTTATTTGAGTTTTATCTTCACATTCTCTTCGCCACAATCGTTGCTGCACTTTTTTCTGTTTACTTTCTTTATTTTTTTTTATAAGCTTTTTTTTCAAATAGCTTTAATTGTGTGACATTTTCTTCACACAGCTCAACCGTTATGGCTATTAAAATTTCTGGTTGGTAATTGTGAAATTACAAAAATATTCATATATGTATTATGTATGAATGTGTGCTTGTTTACCAACTGAAATTTGGCTACCATCAAAACATTGGTAATATTGCGTATTAAAGAAGACAGAACTACAGTGCCACTACAAAGGCTATAAAATAATTATAAAATTTCTTTCAATGGCATAATTGAAACCAAAGTGAGCGCTAGTATCAGTGACACAAATGAATGAAAAGAAGAAAGAAATGTAAAAAAAAACAACCACCTATCAATGTAAAAAAGTGAAAACATTCTGAGTGCATGAGTAAATGACTTAGTCAAAGGCACTACACTTTCAGAGCCTATTAATTTTTTTCTCCCAAAACCTTAAGTTAGACGATCGCTCGTTTAAAAGTACTCTAAACGTTCATCATTTTTTCCCATGAATTTCTTTGTTGCCTAGATAACACAGATCTGATCATTTTCAGTGAAATTGTAGAGAAAGTTAATCTCTTTGATGAGTTGTTCTGCGAAATGATTACTCCAAAACAGCCAAAAAAAGCTGCTAGGTTTTGCCCATGGGTCCCATGAGGGGCCAGATCTTTAGAAAACCTGTAAGTGCAATACATTTCGAAGGAGGATTGATTCGAGGTCTGCAGATAAGGGATCTTATGCGTCTAGGAGTGGAGAATGTCCACAGGCTTAAAACGAATACTCTACTTCTACTGTTCGTGCAAAGTTTGGGGGAGGAGTTAGGGATCTACATAGATAGAAAAAAGACAAAAAATATAACCTTAAGCAAAATTAGATGTTTGTGTATACATGTGTATGTAAATTGGTTATGAGATAAACTAGATATGTAATGTAAGTTTCACTTCTCCAGTGTGGCCCAGGCACACTTACTTTTTTTTTAACTTAATGTTTAGAAAACTCATTGCTAAAAGACAAAGAGAATAACGCTAAGGCCCGTTTTCTGAAGTAATCTTTAACTTTAAAGCTCACCTTATATTAAAAGGTTGGCTTAAAAATGTCTAAAGATAAGCATTTCCTTGATAAAATGCTTTTTACTTTAGACACAATCATAAATTTTAATGCAACCATTAAATATTAAGTGAGCTTTAAAATTGCAGGTTACTTGAGAAAAGGTCCTTAAGACCTCCTTGTTAGCAGATCTTTCAATTAGTCTTGCGAAAAACCGAAAATAGCCTTCAAGATAGTTACCAGAATTGGCAACTGTGTTACGAAAAAGACGTTTGTCTTTCGAAAGTCTTTGGTGAGTTGAAAGACAGTTGTCAGAATTGTCCTGTTGTTATGTTGCCGTACCTGTGATAATACAAAATTTTATCAAAATCAATTAATGTTTTAAGAAAAACAGGGGGTTTTTTAAAAGCAAATTTAACAATGACTTCGATTAAAATAGAAAGACACAATTTTGTTTACTAATATATATTTAATAAAATGGGACAATATTTGTAATACATCAAAGTTTTCGCGACGTGGATCGACCAGGTGTTTTTACAAAAACTGGCGCCACATTGTCCCAGTTTTTCGGCGGACATATTTGACAATATTGATGTTAATTTTGCGCCAGCAAATTTAAAATACAAATTGCACATGAAAAGCTCCTTTTTGCGACTAGATGAGTATGTACTTGTATATACTGTTCCAGGCGTAGTCACCACAATGACACCAAGATTAAACCTCGCGTAGTTTATTGAATTTAAAGTTTGCATTTCTTGTTCTAATATGCACGCAATATGTGTTGTCCTTACTATTAAGCTTGTCGGTTTAACGCTTTGCAGTTGAACCGCAAATACATACATATATGTACATATGTATGCACGTTTGTACTTAATTTCATAAAAAATTCAACAACTTTGCTCTAATTTCATTACGAAAATTACGAAACAACCAACAAACTTGCAAGCATTTAATTATTTAAGTATCTACTTCTACATAAAAGACACACAGACTACATGTAACGGGTGATTTTTTTGAGGTTAGGATTTTCATGCATTAG